GGCTTAATATTTACAAATACTAGTGGGAGTGTGCTCACTTGTGCACGCGCACGTGTGTGTGTGTGAGAGTGTGTGTGTGCGCGCACATCGGGGCAGAACTCCGCTGTGCGCGATACAGAGAGCGCGACCATATAACGTAGTGACAGAAATGACATGCCGTCGTGTAAATAAGATAAATAACATAAGTCTATTTAGTTTGTTTAATAAAAGAACAAGGTATAGACGTGTTCTATAGGAAAGGGAACTTTAAATGACTTCTGTTGTGATCTGGCGCTATAGAGAAAATTAAATAATTTTCCTAATATAATGTCAGGGGAAACACTGATTTAGAAATATAATTTTAAACATATATTATTATAGAAAATTATATCATTTTAATGTAATATAATATAATTAATATAAATATTGATAGTGCATGGCACTGGTAACTCATAGGTCATGGGTTTAATTCTCAAGGAAAATATACTGAAAAATAATTTTTAAAAATTAATTAATTAATTAATTAAAGCATCTGCCAAATGCTGTAAATAAAATAAACAAATAAAATCTGTAAAAACTGTGAATATTCAATCAATAGCTACACTAAGCTAGTATACTATTCCGAACACAGGCAGAGAATTACTGCGCTCCAGCCATGACTCACATTGAGAATGCTGTAAGGATGTTATTTAAGCCAATTTAAGTGTCAATCTGCCGAGACGTGAATATACATGAAAGTCATAACCATGCGTTACAGAGGGCATTGCATTTCACCTGCGCAAATATGCACTGTTTCACAGCTCTCAATGCCATAAGTGCTTTTCCATTCAAATGCAAAAAAATGATGAATATGAAAATGCTGCAAAGAGCATGATAAGGATAAAAAAAACAGCTTTGTCAAATTAGAGCCATGATTTATCAAATGTTGTGACCTTAGAAGACATTTAACAGATGCCCAAGTGAATTCTAAAGGTCACAGAGTCACCACGGAGAAATGCTACGACTACACAGTGCTTAATTTTATTCTGCAATTGACTTCAACACTGTTGCACCTTAAAACAAAGCAGACGGCACATTACAGCTCTGAACCGAGACTAACAGCGTATGAATGAAGGAAACGTGCTAACATAGGCATGATCCGTGGGAGCTGGAAATAGTGCATCTGATGGGTTTTAAAATGCCTCTCTCGTACTTAACAGTGTTCAGTTGGTGTTTATAGACGTCTTTTCCTAACAAAATTAAAATGAAAATTTAAATGCCTAAAAAGATCCAATAATAAATCAAACTCTCAAAACAGCTGCTCAAATGAAAAATCAAATGCTCAAATGCAATTTCACTTCCTCATTCGGGGAAGCATGAACTGTATCAAAAATCAAATAAAAAATCATTTGTATTTGATGTTTGAAAAAAAAAATTTTTAAATGTCCAGAATACATTAAACACACATTTCAGACACTCTAACACTGGCCCAACTTAAAGATAATTCAAAGGGAAGTAAACGCAGGCTAAATCATCATGAAATCACTGTACGAGGAGCACCAGAGAGGATGCATATTTTTACCAAAAAGCACCCTCGAAACGAGTGCCTCTCTGTCATGTTTTACCATCAAGTGCTTGAGTATCTAGGAGTAGGTGTTTTAATATTTATTCCAGAGGAACTCTGAAGCTGTCATCCATAGCCTGTAAACCCACAACATTCAAACAACAGTGGGGAGAAAAAAATACTTTTCTAAATAAAATGTGGTGCTTGGTGCAAAACTCACAGCATGATGCTAGAAGACTTTATTTATTTATTTAGTTAGTTAGTTAGTTTAATGTGCTTTAACAACAATAACAATAATAATAACAGTTGTGGTTTTTATCAATAATTTAACTAAAACTAAATAACAATATTAATAATTTTATTTTAAATTACTTTAATAATATTAACAAATATTAATAACAACTACAACAATTATTATTATTATTATTATTAATTATCTTTCATTTTAATTATATATTAAATTAAACTTAATTAATTGTTAACTATTGTTATTGTTTTAATCACTGAAGTAAAATTACACAAAATAATATTAATTATTTTAATATTAATTTAATATTAAGTATTATTATTATTATTAATTCAGTTTAATTGTAATTGTAATAGTGTTAAATTTAACTGAATAAATTTAGCAACATCATAGTAATAATAATAATAATAATACATTTAGTTTTATTATTTAGTATAATATTTATTAATATCTAGTTTAATTTAATAATCATCATCATCATTTAATAATAATTACATTTTTATTATTTTTATTTATTATTATTTATTTATATTATTATATATTTATTATTATTATAAATCTCCATGAGCCCTGACAACACCTACAGCTGACAAGAGCAACGATCTGAAGTGCTGGCAGCCTAATGGCTAATCCAGTTTCCCACGCAGCGCGCTTCAGCAGTACAGCAGTCTTTCCAAAGGCCAAACTTAACGGACTCCTATTAGCCAATAGCATAATTGATGGCGCCTCCAACACTGAGCAGAAGTCACATGCAGGGAGCTGGGGGTTAATTCCTCATTGAGATGCGAGGGCTTTAAAGTGAACGATCGCTCTAATCCCCGCGTTTGTTCTGGTTCTACCTGCGCTCCTCCTTCTGAAAAATCAAACACTTCAGCTGGAATGAAAGATTAAAGTGGCCTGGTGTACGAGCTGAAACAAAGAAAATAAATATTCATGAGTTCCAGGTAGAGAAAACTGAGAAGTGTTGAACAAAATGAACAAGGCTTGATGTCTAGGATGGGAATCGTGAGGACTTTAACATTTCTGCTTCCAGTTCTAAAATTGTTTTTGAGGAATCTCCCCCTAATAAATGATATATATATTACTTAGTAAATAAAAGTTCACAAACAACTGGCTCTTATGAACCGGTTCTTCTCACTGAATCAAAACACACCATGCAAACACAGTAGTCAAAAAAAATGTAAAGAAATTTGAACAAATGACTCTTTTGAACCAGTTCTTCTAAAGAATCATTCAAAAGTTACAAACATTCTACAAATGTTCCTAAGTTTAGAATTTTATAATAATTTTTATACATTGTTAACACGAGAAATGTGATTTGCAAGTTTATTTCAGTTGGTATCAGACTACTTTTTGGTTGTGAAATCAAAATACACACTATAACTGAAATATGCCCAAACGAATCAGAATCAAATCCAATCGGCGCTGGTGAATTACAACTGAATTAGGGCTGCACGATAAATATCGCACGATATTTAATGCGCATCTCGTCAGTAAAGCCGGTTCTGTAATCAGCGGTAAATCTCTACACGTGCGTGCTTTCACGTGGAGCACCATTACCTACACAGAGCCGTTGTTCACAGACAAGCTGCGCAAAACATGCGCAAAATATGATCGTGGTTTTGCGCAGCTTCAGTTCAGTGAGTGAGGCATTACCCAATACTCACATATTCAATTCACTCAAATGAATTTACTCAAATGACTCACAAGTAATTTGTTTGTGAATAGTGTTTTTTTGTTGTGACACTGCATTAGAAAGATTCTATTCTATGTCTATGCATCATTTCCATTATATCATTTCATGGCACCCAGTCTCTCTCACCACATTCAATTCAGACAGCAAAATCACAACATGATTTCAGTCGTGACTGAACAGAGATAAAATGTCTTTAACTCAGCAATGCAGACATCTGCAGAAGAATGAAGAAATGCTAATGGAAAAGAACATCTTGACAATTATTCTGCCTCTGTTTGTCATTTTTAACTTATTTGAAAAAGTGAAGACATGAACGACACGTCCATAAACACAGGGAACCCAATTCCTTTGATGAGGTCTGTGGAAACCATGGCAACTATCTACTAATAAAAAGGCTATGACCTTTTGAATAGTGTATATTAAAGTAAGGCTGCAGCTGGTGACTGTCTATTCCGTAAACAAGCTAATATGGTACAGAAAAGAATGACTACTACAACTTCTGCTGGCCGCCTTCAATTTTACCTCCACGCTCATCCGAGCAGCCAATTAAGTGGCTCTCTATTAGGGATGTGCGGTATACCGGTACTGGAAAAATACCGGTATATATTATATTTCAAATGGTACGATATCATCATTTTGCTCAATTCGGCATTTCATTCGCTGCTGTTCCAAAGTTCACCACTATTTGGCAGTGTTACCCAAACTGACGCGAAACCGGCAAGCACGACAACGGAGAAACGACAACGGATAAAACAGGTGAAACTCACTCTACACGTCCGAAATGAATAAATAAAGAAAGCGGTAGAAGTGAAATATGGCATTACTTTGCCTACAAAAGTGATGAAAAAGGTGAACCAACCGACCTTAATTCACCAGTCTGCAAGCGCTGCTATAAATCATGTGCTGCCATGGGAACATTTGTCACTCGCTCATCCTGATTTGTTCAAGGAGTTAAAAGATCGACAGGTAAATGTGTCTCTTTCAACTGATTTAATTTAGACTTTTATTTTAAGGTTTTTTTTTGTTACATTCTGATACATTTTCTTTGCACCATGTGATAAAGACTGAAAAGATATGAAGAGATGATCCTATTTTAATTTTATCTCTTCAGTTTTTTTTCTTCAAAATTAAAATCTGACCTATGTTCAATGTATTTATTTATTTATTTTTTTTTTACATTTTGTTTGCACAATTTTTCATGCAGAGTTCCAAGCAGTGCGTTTAATAAAATTGTTTTCAATTCACTTATATTTTGAGGCTGGTTATTTGTCACCTATGGTATCGATTTAGTATCGATACCGAGGTATTAGATCCTAGTATCGTACCGAAGTCAAAATTGTGGTATCGAGCCATCCCTACTCTCTATTACCTAGCTTCATGAAAACCTCCTTTTCTGCAGTGTTTAGAGCTCAGCTAGGACAGCGAAGCGCCTTGGAGAATCCCCAGAGAGGGCAGGACTCGCTCCATAAGCAGTTCATATTTCCCTGCTCTAATCAATTCAACACAACGTAATCGGCAATTAGCAGCACCGGGTAGCCAACCATCTGCCATCACCTTTAGAAACCAGAGAGGAGATTCCACTCAGGAAAAAGGTGTTGCTAGGCAGGTGTACGTCTGTGTGGGATGAGTCCGGCACTCTTTGACTTTTACACCATTACATAAGGATGCGCTTTAATAACATTCATTTTCATAACTACTACTTTGCAAGTAATTGGGTCGCTCGCTCAGGAAATAGACACAAATAGATAATTATTTTATCTTTAATTATTTATAGTTATTTTATTTAATAGATAATTATTTTATCTATTAACACAATAATAGATAATTATTGACCAAGAGGAAGACGATAAAGCTATAACAATAAAGTCAACATAAAATGATGTCCACAACCTAGGGCTGGACAATAATTCAATATCAATATGTATCGCGATATAATTTTTTTCAATAACGGTGATATGTTTTTTAAACACATTTCCGATATTTCGATATACATTACCAGTGTTTCCCATACATTGATTTATTTGTGCCGTTTGACTTCGTTGAATAAACATGAGCACTGCACGTTTCAAACCACAACCCATTTTACTTAATTTGGCATAAAAAAAATTTCCTTTGGAAAGAAGTTCACAGATAAAATATGCACAATAAGTCCAGGAATGTGGAATAAAGGGTTTCCACATTCCAAATCATGACTTTATCATGATTTTTAAGAATTAAATAAATAAATAAATAAATAAAATAGAAAATAAAGTCTTTGTGATTATTTCAATTACAAAGACTTTGAGTAATAAATACATAAATAAACAGAAAATTTGACTAGAGAAATTTCAAAAAATTTTCTCTGACCATTTTCAATTAAATTTTCATGACTTTTCTGTGATTGTAATCAAATAAAATAAAATAAATCATGCTGATCCCACTATTTCACACTTGAAAAGGGTGGATTTTGATTTCATGTTGACTTAAATGTAGGGGTGTGACGAGATCCGATGTGTCGATATCCTCGCGCTATTGGCATATGTCTGACCTTTCAGACATGTTTGCATTACACTGGCTCGTTCACCAGTAGAGGTATGTAAGATATTTTATGTTTACCTGCGAATACAATATGCTTAACGTTACCTGCGGTTAACCGGACACTCCAGTGTTTAAAAAATCACCTATCTGAACGATCGGGCTAGTGCTGCTTCCTCAAGAAAGTTTATCATTCTCACGTGATTTAAGCCATTCAAGCGTGAGACAGCGTGAAACAGAGATTTCAGTGTGGTACTCGCGCGCTGTCATAGACCGTTTCTGTGCGCACGCATGCACTCAAAAAGCCGCAGCTCAGACAGCATATGCGAGAGACACGTCATTTTGGTATTTGTGAATCTTAAGAATATTCATCACCTGCTTTACGTTTACCTGGCACTAGGGCTGCACGATATATCGAAATTATCGAAATATCGCAAATGTAAATATCGCAATATGCATATCGCAACGTTGCTGTGGTATATGAAGAAGTACTTAAAGTGTATGGAAAACAAAGTTACAATGATATAAAATTAGTGTCATTAATTTTTTTGTTTGTATGTTCACACTGATGTTAAATTACATTTTCTGATTTGTGACATTACTTTTTAAGTAATGCTAAAACACTGCTGGTCACTTTCAGAAGTTATAGTGATTCTTTATTTTCCAAGAAAGAATGTGAATGAAATTGGTTATATAATTTTCATTTTTAAATATTTTAAAATATAATTTAAATTGATTTTACACACATTAAGTAATATCGTATCGCATATCGAATATCGCATTTTTTAACAAGGTATCACATATCGCATTTTTCTTCAATATCGCACAGCCCTACCTGGCACTGGCAGTATTTTCACAAACTTGTAACTTACATGTTTAGAGCAGAACCATGCATCGTTCATTTATATTTCTACATGGCTCCCTGCAATACAACTCTGATTCTTCAATCGCGCCATCTAGTGGTCTGTTATTGATATAACCACAACTGCTACAACTGATAACGGTGCGCTAAAGCAGGTACTGCAAGTCATTTTGAGGTAATTAAAATGTCAAATCAATATTTTGCGTTCAATTATTTACTTATCAGGCAAGTGGCCTCATGATAAGCGGGAAAATTACACAGTGTATTCTTTATCACCCTGCAGAGGCTTCTTTTGCAAAAGAAGACTGTACACTATCCCTCAGCCTTGCTGCGCTGCCCAGTTTGGGAACCACTACTTTATTCTTTAAAACGGATCCATTAATTGTGTTTATTATATATATTTTTTATATAAGTGGAATTCAGTTTACTAAATAATGTAAACTTGACTGACTGCTTCACTTCCACTTCAAAGGGATATTTGTGTTGTTTATTATTTATTTTTATTTATACTATTTATAATTTTTGTGCAATTGCTTGCCTGTCAGTTGAGTTTGTGGCAAAACATTTTGCAGTGTTTACATGTTGTTTATTACTGCATAAAATTCATTAAAATAGAAGTTTAATTTCATAAAGTGCAAGTTGATTTTAAAATGCACCTACATTTTTTGCATTTTGTGTTTTTCAGTTGAATAAAAGACTATTTTTCCCTATATATTTCATCATTGAGGATTTCTTTAAAAAAAAAAGTCTAAAAATCTCATCTCGTCTCGTTCTCGTGAACCCAGTCTCGTCTCTCGTCTCGTGGGATAAGTGTCTCGTCACACCCCTACTTAAATGTAAATAACAAACCACATTTGGTTTTGGAATTTATGATGAGAAATATTTGAGTTCATATTGCACTCTCTGCCTCAAACTGACAAGAAACCAGTCTGCAAACGTTACAAACATGCTGTGATACGATGATGAGACAAGTTTTTAATTTGATAATCCACATTGTTTCAAAACTGAAAATCATGCCAGAACATAAATCAGATTACTAGGGCCTCAATCTGCTCTTCATTTAAATCAAACTGCTCTCTAGGAGAAAGAATTGTGATTTAACAGATCTGATTTTTCTTTTCTATGGGCTGAACATTCTGCCAACAATTTCAATAATTCAGCAAACCCACACCTGTTGGTGATTCGGCTACAGTCCTTCCTGTTTCTGAACTAATTGGAGTGAGTCTAATGTCATCTCCAGTGTCATTCTGATTTGATTAAACCAAGGGAAGTCAACATGTGCTCTTCTCTGAAGAAGAGCAAAAGCACTTACAGACAGAGAGCAGCCAAGCCATTAAAAATTAAAAAGATAATGATGAGAGATTAAATTATGACTGCAGTTCCTGTAAGGACAACAAAATCATGGATGTGACCCTAAATGTGGCCTTTTTTGCTTTTAAAATCTGTAACAAAACAAGTTGGAAAAAAAAAAAAAACACGCACAAACACACTGATGGGTATCTGCTGTGAGCCTATGTGACAGAATCAGAGCACAAACAGCAAGGAAACGTCTCGCATTAAGTGATTTCAGGTGACATACAGTGGGAGCTGAACACAGACGGAAAAGGAGAAACATCAGACGAACACATAAAAGAATTCTTTGGCGCATTTTGATATCGCTATAAACTGACAAAATATCGTAATCCTAGAGGAATGCCAAACGTGTAGACTTAACGGATAAAACACGAAAAGACACAAACGAACACAGTGAAGAACATACAGCAACATTTAGAGCTGCAAGGCAACCGTCTGAATAACGCCAGCAGTGGTTCATTCGCAGGTCATTTTTCACGTTTAATAACCATAAAAACAAAAGACGCAATATTAGACAATATTACAATCTTTCAGCAGAGCAATACACATTCAACAGAAATTATTGTGAATATGAGTATTTACAGTTCACTTAAAGGAATATTCTGGGTTCACTGCAAATGAAACTTTAATCGACAGCATTTGATTTCATACGTCAGCCAAAATTACAAAGGCAAGACTAGAAAATACAGACCATTTCGAAAGTATAGCCACCAAATAATCTTAACTAACCTCATTTGTGCTACTTATATCTACTATTTAGAAATTCTATTAAATTCCATGTTATATGCACAAGGACAGCGAGGATATGCGCAGTCAATTAAAAAAAGAAGCAAGTAATTTGCATAATCCAATTATGATGCTGCCATGCATTGCAATGTATTGAATCGTGACATGTATTGCGATGTGTATCATATCGTGAGGTAGTTTGCGATAAGCCCTCGTGTTTACACTTTTCGGTGAAATCAACCTATACAGTAGTCTCTACATATTAAGATGGGCAAGGTAAAAATAGTTTAATATAAAAAAATTAAAAAAAAGACACTTCTTTGCCATTAATTTTCATCAGTCTGGTAAGCAAAGCTTTACTTGTCATTCTACTGCGCTCACTCATCAAAGCATGATCTAAGTTGACAACTTGGTAAAATACATTTCCCAAGAGTTAAGGGTGGAATCACAAGCTTTAGCGCTGGACCGGCCACATATCAGCTCCAGCACAACATTAGCAGTCCCTGCACTTGCAGCCATAAATGTCCGTTTTCCACAGGCTTTTACAGAGAGTCGGCCAAGAGCATGACCTAAAATACAGAAACAAAACAAGAATTAAGCCGAAGGATAAACATAATGAAGTCACGGTCAGGGTTAGTAGAGTTACCTAAAACTAAAACCTTAAAAAAAAAAAAAAATGTCGTTACTTAAGGGCCTGAAAACACAAACATTTGAAAATGGGTTTCAAAGTGCAAGTTTTTGAAAATTACACCATTATTTTGTCTATAGGAATGCGTATGTGTGCAGACGCATAGTGTTTCTTTCCAGACTGACATCGCCAACTACTGGAGCAGGCATAATACAGCATTTTTAGTCATTTTTCATGGATCCGTGTGAACTGGGATCATCGACATGGTCTTCTGTACACAAAAAAATTCAAAAACACAAGGGAAAAGCTTTTCTGTTTTTAGTACAATCGTTGTCGTGTAAACATACCCTGAGTTTAAAGTAAATATAACTGAAATAAAAACTATATAGACTTTTTTTTTGTCAAGAAAAACTAAAAAAAAGCACAAAATGACTAAAACTTTCCCAGTTTACAAAACCTCAAGTACTAAGAAACTATTTTCTTGAAACTACATTGTCTGAACAAATTTTAAGGGTTTCTAAATTTCGTTGGTATAAACAAAAAAAGTTCTTTGTTGTGGTGAGCGATTGAGGGATTTTTATTTAATTTTTTTGTTTGTTTACATTTGTTGATGGTCACCGTTCTTGATTTTTGTGTAAGTGTTGAGGCCTACAGTATGTTCAACCATTTAAAACTACACTGTAAAAAATGCCCGTGAATTTAACGGTAAAAGACTGTAAAAATGCTACAGTAAAAACTTGTTAAATGGTTATATATACTGGATATATTTTTGCTTTGTGGGATGACTGTTCCTTCACAAACAAAGATAGCATAGTTTAACATATTAGTGTCCTATAAGACTACATACGTAAATGGCATAAATCAAAACGTTAAATTAATTTATTGTGTTACTAAAAGGAAATTTGCTGAACAAGAAATCTGTTGTTGTCTTGACTAATTTATTGACTAAATGAGGCATGTTGCATTTAGTGAGTGAAATTCAAATTGACAAAAGTAGCACAACTATTAGGACAAAAATTAGGAAGACTTAAATCTGAATGCATCATGTTGCTTTGGATTTTTAACTTTTCTCAACATTTTTTTTTTTTTAAGTGTATTAATAAAAACTATAACAGTATCTCAATGTTACTAAAATAACACTGGTAACGGTCACCCATGGAATAATGCTCCGGGGTTTCTAATTCAAATGCAGTCAGCTCTACTCTAAAGAGCACACATATTAGTCACTAATTAGACAGAGGCAGGGCTCGATGGGATGTTCCTAAACATCTGCAACTGCCTAATTAATCCCGTTAATGTGAAACTGAACAAACACGATTAGCGTAAGAGTGAATGTCTAGAAGGAACAGGAGTCATTTCTTATGGGAGGAAAAATTTAAATGTTAAATGTTAAAAATTAGCAAATGTCAAGTCGAGTGCTGCCGTCAGGTTTCAGGCTCTTTGTTAGAAGTTTGGTGAAAGACAGCGATGAGCCACATTTAGAGACTTGAATTTACTTAAAAGCTGTTGAGGGACCCAAGGAGGTTGTGAAAATTCATGTTTCACTGACATACTTTAATCCAGTGTTTTTCCCCAAAACATTATGGAGCTAATTGTACCACTAACTTTGGTGTCCACTGAGAAATCAAATCCTGTCTGGATAGAAATGTCAATTTTTTTTCTAGACTTCTCTAAAATTTATTCTGACCTTTATTGAATACCGTAACTGAAGCCTAATTTCACATTGCGCTGCCTGGTGTACCTTCGTTATAAAGGTGAGTAAAATTACTTATAGTGTTAATTGGTAATTCCTTCCCGTAATAATACACTTAATGTAAAAATTATATAATTGTGTGACAAGACATATGTAATTGTTATTTCATGATGCATCCAGTGCACTTCTATAATGAGCACATCCAGACGTCATTTGTTAAGAATTGCAACTTAAACATAATTTCTAAAATGAATCCCTTCAGAATAGTGCTAAAGAAAGGCTTTTCTAATGGTCCTGGGCAGAAATGGGTCTTTGGGTTTGTGTACCATCAGTCATACGACGAAAACATTCAGTGGCGAGGATCAGAGGGTACCAGAAGTCATTAAAATAAAGTGCAGTAATTGCCTTCTTGTTTATCTAAGAAATGAGCCCTTATACGTTCTGAGCGCAGCGACTTCGGGGCATTTCTACAGACAGAATGACGGAGCAATTTGTTAGCATAATAATGGCACTCCAGTGAGGTTTTTTCTGGGAACCTCTGCAATCTGGTCTTACAGATAATGGACAAGTGTAATTTTTCTTAAAAACTAAAGATTGGCATTAATCAGACACACGAGGTGGGTGATTACAATTGTTCCCGTTATCTTGATCACTGAAGAATATGAAATTTGCGAAAATCTGTAAGTTCAAGCACCAAAATGGAACATAAAACAATGCATACAAATAAAGGAAGAATTGTATGTTAAACTTTGGGAGTAAAGTTTAAAATAAATGAAGGGGAAAAAAGGAAATATGGAAATTAAACATGACAAAATACATATCAGTTATATCTTAATCAAGTTTAAGATGAATGTTCAGAAGAAGACTTAGAAGCAAGTTATTGTACTCCCAAAGATATTGAAAACATTAATATTGTCTATAGAACTGTTCCCAAATTTTCACGACTTCATGATAGGGTTGTGACGGTGAGGAAATTTTCCCACCGGTTAATCTACATGTGACAACACCGGTAATACCGGTATCACCGTTGGGATGGGGGATGGTGGTAGGGGTGGGGGGAGGTGTTAGTTCGTTAGAGTTTCCCTCTTTTCTTCGCTTTCAAATGGCTTGTAAAAAGTGCCGTGCGCATTTTACTTTCACTTTCAAATTAGCGGCAATTCGGCGTTGATTCAATTCAAGCAACAACAGCGTCAAACTCAGAACTTTTATTAACAAAACGAATAAAAATACACCATATATGCCTAATAAAATAACAAATTAATTAGGCTACACAAAGTTTAAATAGGTATAAAACCTAAAAAAAAAATCAGCAAACACTGTGGAACCAAATAAATAAGAAACGAATGTTTAAAAAAAACTTCCATTCAATAGGCTTTTTAAAATCAAAAATATTGCCAAACAAACACCTTTGCATTTCCTTTCTAAACAATCTTCTGCCATCGTCTTGTCTTTCTCACCTCACTCTTGTCAGTCAGCTCGACTCACTCTCCTCATGTGATAAATCAAATCTGACTCGTTCGCGCACGGTTCAGCACGCTGCATTGAGCATTTAGTTTTTAAAAGTGTCTGTCCTCTAACTGAACTAGACTAAATTATTTTTGTTACTATAAAAAAATCAAAACGACGGTGGGGGGCAGTGCCGCGATAGGCAAATGACGTAACCGGTGTTGCGGCTTAACACCGGTATAACCGAAAACACCGTCTATCGCAGCAAGCCTACTTCACGATTGATGACACCTCCACGCCAGAAAATCACACTTTTAAATTTCCCTTAGTCACTGGCAGATTTATCACTTGTTTTAAACAAAAACATCCCAAAATGTATAACTTTGTTTCTTATGTTCCTTTCTAGAGTGTCGATTATTTTCAGAATCTTAGGATTTTGCAGTGTACAAAGGTAAAGTCTCCTGCATGCAGAAATATGATTTCCGTATGATTGACATAGCGCGCAGGTCTTTAAATGTACAGTGATGGACAGCAGAAACCTGATGTTGTGAAATCCACTACAGCAGCGAGTGCTGTTTCAGCCGTGTGACATGAGCGAGCACTCATTCACTCACTCACTCTCTTCTAGGTCGGCTCTCAGCACCCATTATCTCTGTACTGACCCACCTCAAAAATACACCAAAGACAGATGCACACGCTCATTCACTCCACATTCCCCATACTATTGTTCCTCAGGCCATG